TTCTCGTCTTCCCTTCAGCCTGTCCTCCCTGACCTCCCTTCCCCTTTGGTGACCCTTTGTCCTCAAAACAGCTGTTTCTGGGTCAAGGACCGTCCTCCAGGCCCATGGGTGTGCGCTGCCCTGGCTTAAGGACAAACTCTCTGATGTGAGGGGTAACAAAATAAACCAAATCTTTATCCCAGAACGTGGGAGGAAGGGATGGGGGCCCAGGGCTGTCTTTCTGGGACTCTTGGTCCCACTGGAGAAGCTGCTGGGGCCAGAGGACGCAGGCTCTCTATCCCCAGGGGCCATCCCACAAGCTCCAGCCCAGTTGCCAGGCTCCCCGGATACAGCCTGGTCTCCCGGTCTCCGAGGATTTATTTTTGCATATGGTTTGGGAGAATCTCTGTTGCTGGAATAACAACCACCTTTTTTTCTCCTTCTCCTCCCCTCCAATAGGCAGATTTTATAAACCAGAGCAGCTGCCTGAAGGTTTCCAAGAGAAAATTCTGCACAATTTCTAAGCAGGGTGACAGTTCCCCTCCACAGGAAGTTGCTTTTATTAAGGTTTTTTTTAACTTTTTTTTTTTCATAAGGTCTATCGGTCAACAGGCAATACATTGGGTCTGTGGGCATTTTTGCTCTTCTCCGGTTTGCCTGGAAACTCATGATTACATCTAAACCACAGTGGGCTTGCCCAACACAAAGGCAAAGCTGAACGGCTGAACACGGGTCACTCACATCGCCTGGGCAGAAGAATCTAAAGTAATTTATGGAGATATTCCCACCTCTACCCCCCGCCTCAAAGAGAGGGAACATAACTCCCCACTCCTTAAGTGGGCTACACGTGATGATTTCCTTCCAGAAGGAAAGTATAGAAAGGGGTGGGGTAGAGCAGTTTGGCAGTGGAGAAACCTGACAAACACTACCTCAGTGATCAAGGTCAAAGTCAACAGTGATAAGTCATGTTGATAGCATGCACCCTTGAGAAGATGTGATGAGAATGGCCCTTTACCTCCATGATCTTCCTCTCAAAATCCATAATTCCAATTGAACCATGAGAAAAACGTCAGACAAACCCCAACTAAGGAACAGTCTACAAAATACCTGACCATCAAACACAAGGAAAGTTTGAGAAACTATCTCAGCCAAGAGGAGCCTAAGGAGACATGATGACTAAAAGTAATGTGGTATCCTGGGACAGAAAAAGAACATTAGAAAAAAATGAATGAAATCCATTCAGTTTAGTCGATAGTAATGTACCAATGTTGTTTCCTTAGCTGTGAAAAATGTCCCATAGCAAAGTCAGATGTGAACAATAGGAGAAACTGGGTCAGGGCTAGATGTAGTATCTTCGCAACTTTCTGTAGATCTAAAACTATTCTAAAGCACTTTTTTTTTTTTTTTTAAGTAGACCTCATGTTCGGGTTTTAGGCAATCCCAAGATCCAGTTCTCTTTGGTTCGCTCTTTTCTGCCACCATTAAGGATCTGAGCTGCCGACTTTGGGGGTATCCAAGCCCCTAGCTCCCAACCTCATTTCCATGGGAATTATCATCATTTTCAAGCCCAGGGAAAACTCTCGTTTTCTCACCATTGAGCTTAGCACAGGACCTGGTGCATAGTAGATGCTAAGTCGATACCTGTCAAATGAATGAAACTTGAGGAGGACCTGCCCAATGAGGGGATCCAAGCAGAAGGCCAAGCTTTTTCCTTCCCAGGGCAAGAAGTCAGTACCTGCTAGTCTCTACCCAGAGAGAGAAGAGTTTGAACAATCTCGTTAGAAGTGGGTAGAGGACTTCCCTTGACACTGCTTTGGAGAGCAAACACACAGATTTCTTAGGATTACATTTATTGGGGGCTTTGGGTAGCTGATGGAGATAATGAGAGGCAAGCTGACTCCTCCACTCCCCCTGCCACCCCTTGATGATGCCTTCCTTGACCCTGATCACCCTCAGGGTGTCAGCTCAGGGCTGTCAAAAACCATCTGCCAAGAAGCTTCATGCAGCAAGAACTGTTTGCTAGGTCTTGAAAGTCCATCACCTGGCACTCAGTAGGCACTTTATATATGTTTATATTGATGGCTATCATTTATTATGTACCAGGGCCTGCGCTGGGGAGGAAGATGGGGGTTGTTTCTGTGGTAGGTATTGTTGTCATCCCCATTTTATAGAAGAGGAAATGTAGGCCCAAAAAGCTTGAAAAACTGGTCTCAAGTCACAACTAGAAAGCATAGGACAGAGGTTTCCAATCCAAGTCATCTAATTCCCAAACCAGTACCCTACTATCTGCCTCTTCCGCTGGGCCCTCAGGACCTGAGAATCTGCAGCCTGCAGAGACACCAGGAAGTCATTCCTTCCTCTGTGGCCTCCAGACAGCAGTAATTTTCAAGTCTCTTTCTTTTAAAACTTAATTTTCCAATTTTCTCCTTAGAGGTGCTTTTTGATATTCCTTCAGGCTGTCAGCCTGCACAGGCCACAGAAGCAGAATCCAAAGAGATAGATGCTTATTACAAGCATTTAATTAGCAGGGTTTGAATAATGCAGCCCTGGATGCTCCATCCATGCGTGGAAGCTTAGCGACACCCTCCCCCACCTTGGACTTTTAGTGGCCTTTTCCATATTTATTGCTACCTAACCAGATATCCTGCACTTGGTATAATTTGATATCTTCCCAGTCCCCAAAGTGCCTTCTCGACAAATTTTTACCCCATTGTTAGAGCATATTTAAGATTTATATTCCCTTTGGCTGAATGGAGTCCCCGGAAAGGGCAGACTCCGTCTTCTCAGGGAGAGGATCCTGCCTCGGCTGACAGGGTGGCCTCCAGCAGGAACATTTTAATACATCACTTATTAAAATGGACCCAGAACCTTGGCCAAGGGCTCCCACAGGGGCAGCTCCAGGCCTTAGCTGACCTCATCCAAGCCTGCCTCCCTTCTGACCCCTGACGCAGTTGTCCACTGTGCAGAATACTAGGAGAGCCCGGCCTCCAAACAACAAACTGACAAAAGGATCTTTAATACTGAAGGACAATGCTGCAGCTGGGGCTGAGCCTGGGTCTGGAGTCAGATGACTATGCATCCCCATCCTGGAGCTTAGGCTCTGGGTTCAAGTCCTGCCCCAGCGACTTACTAGCTGAGTGACCTCATACAAGTTACTTAATGTCTCTGAGCCCGGGCTTCTCCTGTGCAATCAGGATAATATTAACGCTTGCTTCATAGGGCTGTTGTGAGCGGGGCATACAGTAAAGCTTAGTTAATGGGCACGTGTGGTCTTTTTAGCTCCTCTGGGTTGTCAACTTCCTCACCTACTAAAGTGAGTTCATGGCGGTGGGTTTCCAGGGTTGCTGGGGAGATTGATTATGTGAGAGGATGGAAAGGCACAGTGCTTTGATCAGTTAAGTGGTAATTATTTCTGGGTGCGAACATGTCCGTGCCTTCTGAAAGAATCTTTCCAGAAGGGTCCTACCCCTCTTGGCAGATTGATGACACACAGAAGGTGGGCCCTGTCCCTAACTCTCTGCGAGGCACCCCTTGGCCTTCTCACGGGAAAAGCATAGGGGACTGCTGGGCTCCGTGGTGGCTAAAGGTCCAACAGCTCCGAAACTCTGGGATTCTGGGGTCAGC